ATTTTGAAAATTCGAAACTACCAAATTGAGCAAAAACAAAGTATTAAATATCTTGGTATTTTTATTGATTCACATTTAAACTGGAAGACTCATATTTTGGAACTATCGAAAAAGATATCCAGGGGAATTGGTATTCTTGCAAAGTTGCGACATTTTGTATCTATTGAAATATTGTTACAAATTTATTATGCAATTATTTATTCATTATTTACGTATGCCATTTTGATATGGGGTAATACTTATGTTACCAATTTAAAACCTTTAATTGTTTTACAAAAGAAGGCGTTACGTATCATGACATTCTCTGATTATTGAGCACATAGTTCTCCATTATTCAAAAAGTTCAATTTATTAAAATTACTTGATATTGTGAAACTTTATACTGGTTTATTTATGCTTGATTATAGCAAGGGCTTGCTCCCAGTTGATTTTGACTCCTTTTTCAAAGAAAGTAAGCTTATTCACAGGCACCAAACTAGATTGTCATCGAAATTATTAACTTATGCGTTACCTCAACTGCGTACAATATATGGAGTTTTTAATATTAGATTTACTGGGCCGAAAGTTTGGAATTCTTTCGAAGATATGCTAAAAATGCTAAATCGAAAACAATTTAAAAGGCACCTTAAAAGCCAAATCATTAATTACTACGATCTTGAATAATTTTGTAATTGTCCTGTTAGATTGACTCATTAGATTGACTCATACGTATATTTATTTTTTCTTTATAATTTATTATGTTTTTTTTTATGTGTGTAATGCTTAACTATCAAAAGAATCTGGAGTGTATGTCTTTAAAATTTCTCTTTATAGGTCATCTGACTAGATTAGCCCTATATGGTTATTTCAGATGGCCTAACTCATTCATAAAGTTAAAATTCCTGTATGTCACTTGTATATATTTCTATTGAGTTTAATAAATTCTGTTCTGTTCTGTTCTGTTTATCATGAAATACTGTTTGAATATTGCTGAAAACTTTAGATTGCTTTAACTCATAGCCGTCCGGTTGTAAACAATGCACACAGATAATTTCGATTTTATCTGCAAGTATTTTATCAAATTAACTAGAAATTGTATTATCTTAAAGCTAAAACATTTATCTATTTGTATAAGTTTAGTTCATTTCAAAAGCTTTCCCATAAGCCAAGATATTAATTGCCGATCTTGGTACTTTTTAAATTGAATTTTAGAGAAGCGAAAATACGCAAAGCCTTCCAGAAATTAAAGTAAAAAGCAAATTCCGAACAAACAAGACATCTTGAGAATCAAAATATAATTCAAACAAGACACAGATTGAGACTGTAAATTTTCGACTTTATTACAAAGTCATCTTCAGACAGAATGAAATACAATACTTTACAACGCATATATATACAACACAGAGAGAGAGCGCACGTGTCAATCCAGCATGTAGGCGGAAGGCCGGTAAACCAAGCAGAGCGAAACATGATAAGGTTGTGAATAAAAGTAAATATGCAGGGGCGTAAATGTGGGGGGGTGGTACACCCCCCCAGACACATGCTTCAGTCGGTCTCAAAATGAAGTGAGTCGGTCTCAAAATGATGAATCGTTAAGTTGGACGGGGTGACGACTGACGACGTTCACGGTTGACCGAAAATACATATACTTCGGTCAACATTTATTACTCGTACACAAGTGCATGGTGTTAACTTAACTGTTGTTTGAGCGACTGCTGACTGCAACCATTTGCTAATTGCTAGCGGGTGTAATATACTAATATCTCGTCTGCGCGCAGGCTATCATTAGCAACAAGGTTGTCATTAGCAGGCTGTTTGACAGGCTGACAGCGCTCTTCACCATTTAAATATGCTCGCGCAGGTCTTTCATGCGGACGCGATTGGCGGACGCGGTATTATAATTTGCTTCGAATGAATATTGAATATTACCGGTTCTCTATCATACGCACCAAATTTACGAATATGTATGATAGATATTAAAGATAAAGGTGATGATAACGGATTTGTGATTTCACTTTTCAAGTACGTATAATTTTAACTTTTAATTTTATAACTTAGATTGTTTGGACAAAATAGTACGGACGTCAAATAACAAATTTGGTAAATTGTAGTCCTTGGCTCTTTGCAAATTTCAAAATATTGTACACGTGCCAAGTGGCAGTAATAATTGTTCGCTTGTCACAATAACAACTCAAGTATTTTAAGTTTTTTAACATTGATTTCAAACAATTCTTCACTGGACTCTTCTTGATACACCATAGTAAAGTAGAGTTTAGTCGGGCTGCATTTCAATAACCTCCGTCGGGCATAGAAAAATGTCGCGTCTCTTCAAGTTGGTGTTGTGGGTGAAAATCCGTGAAATATCGCCCTAGAAAGGTATTAAGCCACATTGGATGAAGGGATATGTGTTTCAAACGTTCACTCTAACTCCACTGAGTCTCCACAAACCGAAATAACACCCTGATCGGATTTTACTCTGCCAAAATCTCGCCACAATTATATTACTTCGATCTCCCACTGTGATCTTGTTGTTGTTATTGAAAATTGAAATGGTCCTGGGAACCGAGCTTCCGGCGGATGTTGCGCTACTCTTGGGCCAAATGCCGATTGCCGAAATTTCATTTTGCGTGTTTGTGCCCAACCTACTGCATATCCGAAACAAACCGTTACAAACGCTTCAGAGAAAAATGGCCAAAGACTTACTAATCAACTTTCTATGCTTTATCAAAATATGAATATCTAATTATGTAATTATTAAGCATTTATTGCCAATACTTTAAGACTGCGTTCAGACTGAGTGCCCGGCACCGGTGCCCAAAGTCAAAACTGGTTCATAAAACGTGCTGAGCACAGTGTCCTTGCTCACTACTACGTCTGGAGGTGGTGCCCGTTCTTGGGCACCGTTCTCAAATTCATTTGAAAGCGTCGTATTCAACTTAGGCGCCAGAAAATGCGACGGACACCAGTGCCGGGCACTCAGTCTGAACGCAGCCTAAGTAAACAAAACCGGAAACAATGAAACACTGAGCTAAGTCAGTGTCGTCTGTGGCCGCACATGTTCAAGTTGAGCATATCAATATTCAATAATACTGTTTAATTCATGCAGATGCCTGTTGGAAGACGCTACAAAGTTAGGTGTGGGATATGCGGATCAACATTCAATAAGGATTACACTAATCAGCATTGCCGCAGTTCGCACACAAGTTACAATGTCCACACACTACCAACTTCAGTATGCAGAGAACCCAATCAATCTTCACTCTCTACGCACTTACTATCAAATGCACAAGTACCACAACCGCCACAACCCGAGGAACAGATAGAACAACCATTGCATTCAGCCCGAAATAAGCAGGACCAATTATTGGGTGAAGAGCATACAGATGAGGCACCAGCAGAATTCGAAGAGGCAATCCACAATCCACAGTCAGAGATTGTGCAACCAAATGAGATGTTAAATGATAAAGAAATGCTAGAAGGTGATTCGGCTCTCTGTTTGGAAACGCATACCACTTCAGACAGTCTATATTCCGATACCGAAGATACCACTTATGTCGACGAGACTGATACCGTAACATCCGATAATAGTATGGGAGACTTTGTTACATGTTATGGAAAATTGCGTCACTTGACCGATATTCTTGGCGAATGTCAGGAACTGCTTTCAATTGCTGGGAAACTTGATGACCCAAATCCAAAGCATTTACTGGGAGATTTGGTGGATGTTGTTCAGAGAGTTAAAGATCAGAGTTCATCTTTAGTCGAAATGGCTGTCGGCGAACTAACGAAGCTCGATGCAGCCACAGATAAAGAAGGGTCCAGTAATTCTGATTATTCAGTGGATTATTCTCCCATCGAACGTGATCCTGGGAGAAGGAGGGCAATAATGTCTGACGTTGACAGGAATTACCTAATAGAACAAGGTCCCTTCCAGCCAAAACTTACCTGCTATCCTAGAAATCGTGATATAAAAGATAAGAACAAACAATGCACTTTTTCATCGGAATGGTTTAAACAGTATCCATATCTCGAATACTCCCCCACACGAACAGAGCCTATTGCTTTGTGTGTCAGCTATTCCATCAAAACGACTCGAAAGATGCTTGGATTAAAGATGGCCAAAACGCATGGGACAAGATGAAGAGTGTTGGCCAAAAGAAGAAAGGAAAGCTAGCCGCACACTTTGGTAGTGAAAGTCACAAAGCAGCATTGCAGCAATTGGCTCATTTTTCTGATCAAAAAGTGCACGTTGATTTATTGATGGACAAAGCTCGCAGACAAGAGATGATTGCAGCTGCGGCAGAGATCGAACGTAACAGAGAAGCGATTAAAATTCAGCTTGATGTTACCAGAACTCTTGCACGTCAGGGTTTAGCGTTACGTGGTTCTTCAGAAGAAAGTGAAGAGAACAGTAACTTTAATCAATTTGTGCAGTTGGTTTCTAGACATGTCCCGTCCTTCAAACGCTGGTTGGATGATGCCTCCAAACACCCTCAGGCTGCCAAGTACCTCAGTCCAAGGTCCGGCGGAAGGCCGGTAAACCAAGCAGAGCGAAACAGGATTTCACTGGAATACACAATGCCAGACATTGCAATAAGCTGTTTACAAAGCAACAATTTTTCTTCGGTGGATTTTCTAGTCCTTTCAAAAGAAAGAGAGCAACAGTGGGTATAGTCATCATCATCATCTTGTCCTTTTCCCTTTAAGGGAAATTGGGCCTTCCGTTTTTTCTCTCCAAGCGTCCCGGTTTTTAGCGCAATTACTTGCTTCCGTCCATCCATTGAATCCAAGATCACCTCTTTCCTTCTCAACAGTTCTTCTCCATGTTTCTTTGGGTCTGCCTCTCTTACGTCTGCCTTCAGGCGTCCAGGTTAGAGCTATTCTAGGGTTCTCATTTGCCTTTATTCTTAGTATATGCCCAATAATTTTCCAGCGTCTTTGCTTTATCTGATGGGAGATCTCCTCCATATGCGTCTTTGATCTTATCTCTTCGTTTGATACTTTCATGGGCCAGTAGATTTTTAAAATATGTTGAAGGCTCGTGTGGAGGAAGACATTGAGCTTGTTCTGGTGTCAACAGCGTCCCTAATTCTTGTGATAATCACTTTGCCTAATACTTTTGCGGCCACAGGAAGCAGTGTTATTCCTCTCCAATTTCCACATTCCATAAGATTTCCCTTCTTGGGAAGGCGAATGATCAACCCACATCTCCAGTCATCAGGTACTCTTTCACTTTCCCAGATCTTCGACAACAATTCGCACAACGCAGCTACTGTAGTTTCAATATGTGCCTTCATCAGTTCTGTTGTCACACCATCAACACCACCAGCCTTTCCGTTCTTTAATTGCTGTATAGCTTTCCTAATTTCTGCATGTGTAGCGGGACCTGTTTCAATTTCTAATGTTTCATAAGCAACACTCTCCACTTCCAATCGTGTGGGGGGAGGTCTATTCAGGACTTCAGCAAAATGTTCCTTCCACCTTTTCTTTACCTCTTCCTCTTTTGTTAGTAGGATGTCCTCTTTACTCTTTACTGAGTTTGTTCTTCTGTTTGGTTTGTTGCAAAGTTGTCTTGTAGCATCAAACACTGCCTTCATATTGCCTGTTTTGGCTGCTTTCTCTGCATCACTAGCAATTTGGTCAATCCAATTTTTCTTGTCTCTCCTAAGTTGCTTTTTTACGTCCTTGTCTTTAGCTTGGTATTCTTGTCTGTATGCTGCTTTTAGTCTTTCTGACCTGGTTGAATCCGCTTTAGCTTTACAAGATCTTTCATCAATTTTCTTCCAACTTGTAGCGCTTATCCAGGGCTTACTCTGTTTTTTCCTGTATTCTAAGACCTCCTGAGCTGTTTTCTTGTAACTTTCCTTTATATTAGTCCATCGAGTCTCTACATCTTGTTCGTTAACTTCTGTGCTTTCATCAGCTAAACAGCTAAATCTGTTCCTCAACTTAATTTGAAACTGCTGTCTTACTTCCGGTATAATCAGTTTGGCTGTGTCATATCTCCTGGAATTCCTTACATTCCTAACTATCCCATGCAAACAAAGTCGTACAGTTGTGATAACTAGGTTGTGATCGCTTCCACAGTCTGCCCCTCTATAAGATCTCGTATCCCTCACCGATCTCTTGAACTTGCCATTCATTGTCACATGATCGATTTGATTTCTAGTCTTCCCATTAGGAGCAGTCCAAGTGTATTTGTGGATGTTCTTGTGTGGGAACATTGTTGACACAATAGCTAGGTTGTTAGCTGCACAAAAGGAAACAAAACGAACACCATTTTCTGACCGCTCATCTCCAAGCCCATGTCGCCCCACCACACCATCTTCCCCTTCCTGCTTGGCCCCGATCTTAGCGTTCCAGTCGCCCATCATCATAATCATGTCATGCCTTGGAGTCTCGTCAGTGACCTTCTGTAACATATCGTAAAAGCTATCCTTTGTCTCTTCGTCTGCCTCATTTGTTGGTGCATATACTTGAACCACTGTCCTTTTGATGTATCTTGAAGTGAATTGTGCAGTCATAATTCTATCACTAACTGGCATCCAGCTCTCTAAGCAACCAGCCGTTTCTTTTGTCATCACAAGTGCAACACCACTTTGGTGTATGTTATCATCTCTTCCCGAATACAGAATAGTTTCGCCAGTCTGTTTCTTGAGCCGTCCAGTGGGTATAGTACTGAGCTCTTTTATAGTTATAGCTACATGATTAGAGAAAATGACAATTTTCAGATTACATACAATTATATGAATTTAATAAATTTTACTAACAGTACTTTAATGAAGAAATTAAGCAACTTATATATAGTGATAAATATGCATGCACAATTATAAATTAAATATCCTTACTCAAGGTATAAACCGAACGTCAGGTTCCTCTGTCAATTCTTCCTTTCCCAAGGGTCATCAACTCTCGCTTCATTGACATTGCCAGTAGGACTGCTAACCATATTCTCGTCACTTGAATGTATCTCAAAAGCAGCATCTGCAGGGAAATAAGGCAGTGTATCAAACCCCTCTTGTGTAATATCAATGTGAATAGGTGTATATGCATAGGCCTAATACAATAATGCTCTACCTATATTTCCAGCGATAATGATCCTTCCTGATGAATCAACAGTCTTATGTGCTGCTAATCCATGGTTTTGTAGGGCCTGCTCTTGACGACCGATCTCCTCATTGGTTTTTTTATCGTTTTGCAGATGAACAAGAAGTCGTTTCCTGAATATGTGTGTAGCTGGTTGCATCATGTTGAGGAAATAGTTGTCTTCGTTCATTACACTGTGAAGTTGTTCGTGTGACTCGCTGTTTACATTTGCGTGGAGCTGCGGGCATATCACTAATCATCGAAGCACATCGTCTGGGTTGTTGGAATTTTTCTCGTGGAATCTGTCATACATGCTGTTAACGCTCTTTTGTTTCTGTCACTGGATGTGTGTCATCGTTCGTTTAACCAGCGTTGGCATTGGTAAGTGCTGAACATGTCCACCATGGAAAGTGTTTTTTCAGTTTGCCATCTGTCGGCAGTCGAATATTTTCGTTCAATGAAGGAAAGGGTTTTCCTTCATTAGGATTGAAAAAACCTGGCTCAAGTCGATTCATCAGGTGGGCAAGTTTTTGTGGGATATCAGATACGTTGAATGTAGGTGGATACTTAAAAGATCGAAGAAGGTCTGAATAATCCAGCGGTCCCTCGCTTCTGTGGACGAACTTGATTGCATAAATTCTGTTGTGCGGACAAGAGCCTGACGCCCATCCACCTAAAAAGATAACAAGCAGGAAAATCATACAAATCAGTCAAATCGTCGCTTTACAATTCTGCATGTAAACATATAAAACTAGTCATTAAAATACTTACCAGATGCTCCCCATATCTTTGTAAATATCTTTTTGTAGTGTGTTGGTACATTGGTTGTTTTTGGGTAGATGTGAGCTGCCTTTCGCTCTCAGCGGACCACACAACCTCTGCAACACATGGACCTATTATATAGAAAAAAACATTGACGTTGATATAGCAACATTAATTTCATCCATGGGTTCAACATTCATGCATGTCAAAAAGCTTTTGCAAAATTAGAAAAATGCAAATATTATCGTGTGAAGTGTTTGTTATTTGAGACATTTGTTGAGAAGTGTATTTTTAATTCAAATAATCATTGTGGGGACAGTTATGACAGTTTTAGCCAATTTTGAGATTGCATCCGCGATAACCGAACCTGAGACTTCGTTAATGCATGGAAGCATGCTTGGTTTAGAGATTTGTATGAACTCATGTTTTTTAATCTATACCTGCGCAAAATTCATCATGTCCAGTAGATCCTCTTCAGAATATGTTGTTAAATTCATATCCTCAAGCAACTGGTCACTTTCTGAGACTCTATGACACTTTCTGTACTCTGTGTTATATGCACTGTCCCCTTTCTTGTGTGCGGACCAACCCATGGAGCCCAGAACTGGCAGTTGGCCTTCACTTGAAATGAGGAACTCTTGTTTGCTATGGTGTGAATTAAAATTTTAAATTAGTATAAAAGTTTTATTAGGTTTTAGCCAGGCAAAGTTGACAAATTTAGTATACTTTTGTATTACGTGCGGATATAGATGTAACTAGGTCCATATATACTTACCATTTACACACCTATTGCTAAATGCATCACTTCAACACTTTTCCAGAACTCTCTAATGCTTACATGGTCTGAGTCGTCACATTCAGGTGGAATACTAGATCGCTAATTATTTTTTAATAAAAAATATATAACATATTTAGGTCTTAATATATGTATATATCTATAGAGAACAAGATGGTGCACTTACGTGCAATTAAGAAACACCCTTTCTTGCAGAGATCCCATTTTAGATGTGGAAGGTGATTCCTGCAGAGCACCCATGTAAAATCGTATATGTGTTTAGTAAGAGCTTCGAAGTGATAGTAAGCATTTCGCACAAGGGTTTGATTAAGTTTCACTCCAGCAGTGCTACCAACAGCAGATGCGACTCTTCCTAATGCTGTATGCTCTTGCAATAATTTAAATATAACTTTATTAGAGTCAGGGGCAAGAGTCACTAATTTTTGGCTTCTCTACAAGCTTACCTCGACAAATGCTTGTAACAGCAACAGGAAGCTTAGACTAAAGCAATGGTAATCGTCAAAGTTATGAAGCCCATCCGTATACTCCTGATATTGGTATATCAGTCCACATTGTGGACATGATTTGTAGCATAGTTCATAGTTGTTTATTTTTGCATTTTGAAAGAAATTCAGTAACCATGAAATAATACCCTTTTCAATTTGAACGCCATGTTAACATAGCTGACCGCATAATTATAAATATTAAGCGTGATGTGTTATCGAAAGCTCTGGGTGCATTAGCACAAACTTACCTTTAATAACTTTGGTTAAAGTAAATATCTTTCCTTTCTGTGTAATCAATTTCTCTTTGCTAAGGACAATACCTTCGCAATTGCAGCAGGTTTCTTCTATTGGTACCAGAACACATGGAAAGGACAGAACATCAGCATCATGTGTCAATGATCGTGGTAGAGATGGCGGAATTCTCTTCGCTGAATATATATATTCTACCATTCTGGTTAGCTGTAAATCGTTTGGGGGGTACTCTCCAGCGTTTACAAAAAGTTTCTTTTTCGGCTGGATTATCTACCGATTCACTTTCACTGACATCGTTTCCGTAGTCATTTATTTTATTGCCGAGGTTTCTGATTCTTGTGGTGTACTGTCATTTGACAAATCATCTTCAATCGTCTCACCTGATATAGGTACCACTTTCTGATAGCTTTATGGACGCAGGTGACCTTCAAACGGCAGCAACCGCAAGACCATTTATTTAAAGTAATATTGAATGACACTACCACTCTTTTAAATCGGGAATAATGGTGTACTTCTCCTACATATACTGAGAAGTGGCCAAATCTGTTTGAAGTTTCGTTTTTGTTGCAAAACTCGACAATCAGCGGCGCGCTTGCACTCTCTGCTACCATTTGTGCTTGTTCTCTGCTTCGTTTAAGCCACTTCATTTTAACAATTAGTTCTTTGAGTGCTTTTCATGTAATTTTAGGTGGCCCTTTGAATGGTTCCGAAACGTACGGCACCCTTTTCAAATGACAGCAAGTAAAATTTGGATTCCCTCTTCTTCTCGCTGTCTTAGAAACTTCCCTACATTCGTCTAATTCACACGAGAATCCACCTTCGGTTTCAAAGCTGTGAAGAACATGAATAGGATGACTAGTGCCACTAAATGAGCGTCTTACCAAATATAGTCCCTTGTGCGAATCAACGCAAACTCTGTAAAGATGTCTGTTAGCATTTATGTAATCAGGTGTGACGTGAATGTATTTTATGTTGTTCCGAAGTGATTTTTTGGATAAAAAACATTTTAAACATGATTCGCACTCTAAAGTACCTTGCTGGTTATTAATGTCGCTTGAACTCGTGCGCGATTCATGATCCTGTAAGGCAGATGTTTGCGACTGTCCCGTAAGTGATTTGTCGCGAGCAAGAGTTTGATAGCAATGACTATAGCCATTCGAGGCTTTTATATATAGTCATTCGAGCAATGACTATATATACAGCTTACCGTCAAAAGAGATTCTTGTTTTCCAGTGAATAGCATGAAAATGTTTAAGCAACTTGAGTACATAGTGGGCAATGAAACAGTTTACCTCCGCACTCACAGCTTTCTGAAGTACGTCGCTGAAATATATCTCCTGGAACTTCCGTTATGCTGCTTCTCCATACGGATCATATAGAATTCATTGCCATTAACAAGTAAAACCTTGCTAAAACACAATTGGTGAAAAGGTAAAATAGTACATGTACATGTATATATCTATGTATATATATATGTATATGTATATATATATATATGTATATGTAAAAAAATTTCCTGCATCTCTACCAGTGCCAGTGTATGTCTGCAAAGGCTTCTTATTAGGTTAATTTCTAACCTTCGTAACCACAATTTTGATTTTAATTTTCAAATTGCCTTATTGCCTTATCAATAAGCAGCTATTTAGGGGACATTTATGACAACTGAGATAAAACAAACGTTAGGGAATTTTCAAAATTTTCAATTAAAAATTTAAAAATTTTGGGCATTTGAGTTTTAAGACCTCGCGAGGCTGCATGTTAGCTCAGCAAGTTACTCTCGTGTGCGGATAGGTTTCATGAGGAAATCACCTCGAGCGGCAAGTTTCTCTTGTGTGCGAATGGTGTTTGGGCTGAGTTATCAGCTAACTGTCCCACAAGGTTGTTAGCTCAACTGATAGCTCTCGTGTGCGGCGGGCTTTACTTCGGTGGTATTGTCCCACTCTGTACATAGGAACACATGCATATATAACCCCTTGAAATTGTAAAGTATTAAGACTGGATTATTGACGAATACTCCTAACCAGACGGAAAATGAAAGGACTCTTTCTTTATCAGCATACGAGAGTTTAATAAAAGTTAAAAAAATTGAGCTGGCCCATAACTTATTGACTTACAACTCAAAACTAATAAACTCATTTGACTTATAAAACAGGCGACCTCGTCTGTGAGACGAGAAGGGTGTAACAGATATCAGAAAATGCCTGATAAGAGGATGGTGTAACGGACATCAGATAATTGATTATTATATAGGATTAACTGTAAATATAGACTAACACTAATAGAATAAGGAACAGCTAGTTGCTGCGGATGCACCATTGCAAATGCTTCCGAGATATATATATAAATATAGAAGTTGATAATAAATATAGCATTATATATAATTGCATAATCTGTACGTATCTACTTAAAATAAGTCATAGGGGCTTGAGCATGCCACATGACATGCCAAGATAATTTTTTTTCTTTTACATTTACACAGTCAGACACCGGCGCGAAGTGAGGCACGGCTCTTGGTCTATTATACATATAAATTTAAACTTTTAATGATTTTAGTCTAATTTTTTTCTCAAATAACAACCGTGAGACATTTAATATTCTCTATTCTGACCCCTGTAACTGATCAGAGCCTGGCATAACATGCAGTGTCGTGAAAATGTGTCAAATGTCATGCATGTTCGTCTATGGTGCATTATATATATTCATATATATTCATTTATGTGGAAATATAGTAAATTTGTAAACAGGGGAATATATGCGCGCAAACACATACCCATGTTCAACCACGAAAAGGAAACATCCCATCCCCCTCCCTGCTATAAATTACTAAAGTAAATACGGTAGTTATTAGTGTTATAAAATTAGTTACTAGACCAAAACAGTCAAGCAATAGAGGGA